AGCAACAACTATAACGAAATGTAGTGCTTCACATTTCTCATTTTGCATTTCACATTTCTCATTCATAATGCAAAAGATTCTTGCTTCTGTGTGCATCATTTACAACTTGCCACTCCCACACACACACACACACACATTACGCCCACATTTGCTAGGCATTATCCTTGTGCCAAATTGATTTTAATACCTTATACAGTAAGCAAAAGTAAAAGCTGTATCGATGTCAGAGTCGATATAAGTGTGGCGATTTTTATCGATATGCACAAAACGAGCACAGTTATCGATAAAATTAAATTAAATTGAGCTGTGTAATAACTACTTAGAGGACTAGGGTATATTTTAGTCTGTCATATTGTCGCATTTCCATTCATTTTCCCTGCTTGCTATTGTTGTAGTTGTTGTTTGTTCTTCTTCTTCCTCTGTTTCTGCTTCTTCTTCTTGCTGCACATTGTGGTCGTCTTTTTTCCACATATTTTCCTTATTGATTTTTCTTTTTTTTTGGTTGGTTAAGCGAGAAAAAGAAGAGGAAGCAGCAGCAGCAGCAGCAAAAAATGAAATAAAAAGAAAAGCAAAGTGTGTATTTTTTAATTGCATTATGCAGTGAAATCACAGCTAATGGCCTGTTAGGGGTGAGGTAGAAAGAGGGAGAGGGGAGTGAGGGGGGTAACCTGGTGATTTTCCTTAAATTTCTGTTCGCTTTCAATTGTTTTTGCTTTAAGCCTAAGAAATTGGTTCGAAGGTTAATTGATTTTTTTGGAGCAATAGAAAAATAAGCGACTCAAAGCCAAAGTTAAAATTATAAGCCACTTTTCTCAAAGATTCTCATCTTATTGCCTTTTTAATATTTAATAAAGCAAATACTTTTATCAACTTTTAGACAATAGTTCTTAAAGTTCAGTAGAGGCAGAGGAAGACATTCTCCCTCCCACCCCCTCTCGACAGTCCACATCATTATCCGTGTTAACATCCCGTGAAGGGTTCACCTTTTTATCTCTTTCTGTGTATGCTCTTTTATGATTCTCATTCTCTTCTGTTTTGGTTTACTCATAAATCAGCTCATCTTTTGCTGCTTGGCAGCATCATCAATTTGGTGGCAAGGTGGCAAGGTAAAATGGAGCAGATAGTGGGGGCAACATAAGCCTTGACGCGTGGCAAGATATATTCTTATCTGCAGCTATCGTTGCAGCAAACTGACAGCAGGCACTGTTTGCCCTTTATATATATATTAACAATTGGACAATAGGCCAATAAACTATGTGTCTGACAGTTCAATTAACGAAACAGCACCGAGAGAGCGAGAGAGAGGGAGAGAGACAGCGGCAGAGAGAGCGTAAAACTAGTCAAAAGGATTTGCTAGCTAAATAAAAGTCCAAATCATTTGCTCATTAAACGTCTCCAGTCCCTCTGTCTCCATTCCGCCTTCCTCCTTCCAGACACATTCCAGCTTCCAAAATGCGTTCACAGCTGTTGGCGAAAATTTGCCAAAAAAAAACAGAGATAGGCAAAAGAAAGCGCTAAATGAGGTGGTAGGAACGGCGAAGAGAGGGAGGGGGTCTGTGAGAAAGGACAACTGAGGGACGAATTCTGAGTGAGTCTGTCTCTTTCTCTCTTTCTCTTTCTCGCCCTTAAGTGCCTATAAAGAAAAGAAAAAGCTACGCATACATATCTGGGTGGGAGCGAGTAAGAGAAAGAGAGAAAGAGAGAGAACGATTTGCTCCTGGCGTTCAAATCATCTGTTTTAAATCGATTTTCCTTTTTGTTATTTGTTGTTGTTTGGCTGGGCTAAATGTGAGCGTATGTGTGTGTGTGTATGTGTGAAGGATTGTGTGTGTGTTTGGGTGTGTCTGTGTGTGAAGGATTGTGTGTGTAATTTGTGCGAGTGTTTTCCTCTTGGGTGTTTCTTAAGCAAAAGCCCAAATATTAAATATTATATATACAGTGTCTCACAGTTTAAAAGACGCAGTGTCTAACCAAAAATTTAATTGCCTGTCATAAACAAATTATTCAATATTTTTCAAAAATAATATAGCATGAAACAAATTGGCATTTAAACATTTTGCGTTTGTTTCTTTGTTTAAACTTTATAGCACTTTAAATTTTTTGCTAGGCACTGCGTCTTTTAAACTGTGAGACACTGTATATATTTGCATTAAAAAGAATAACAAAATCCTCATAATTATTTCATTTATTTCCAACAACTGAGAAATGTGAGCTGGCTTGGAATTTAATTGCTGACTTCCAGTTAAATCAGTTGTCACTCAACACACGCTGGAAATACATTCCACGAAATCACATTTTTATACAGTTATACTAATGGAGCAATAAATCAAAACAAGCCATATTCGGTTGTTTTTTATTTCGACAACTTTGCGTTTCGTCTAATTTAATTGACCCCAAAACAAAAAACAAACAAAAAACGCAGCGCTGAAAATTGCTTTCAATTTGTAAACCAACAAAAAAACAGCCAAACAAACTTCAAGCCAAATCACAGATCTCAGACGTCTTTTTTTTGGCCGCCTACGGCCGACAATTTTTGCTCATTAAATAAATCAAAAAATTGCTGTTTTTACGCGTCTGACCAAAAAAGTCTATTTTTTCCATTCCATATGTTTGTTGTTGTAATAATCAATTTATGCAAATTTGGTGAAATGTTCAAAAAAATGATTGAGCAAAATAAAAAAAAAAAAAAAATTGTCACTATGTGGGCCAAATTTTTTGATATATATTTTGCAATAAATATTAATGTTTTGTAATAAAAAAGAAGAAAATAACGTGGTAAACTGTGCACAAAAAACGTGAATTAGTAAAATATATTTTACAATAATTAATAAACATAAAAGAACTGGTTTAATTTTGTGCACATATTGCTGAAAGGCAATGTGATCTGATCTGCTCTCTCGCTCACACTTTAGTCGAGAACTGATCTATTTTGATTTGCTCTCTCGCTCGCACGCTTCTAGTCGAAAGCAGTACGTGAAACAAGCCAAAAATACCAGCGTGAAGCTGGAATTACGTGCATAAAAACAATTAATGCCTACCGTCGTCCGTCTGATAAGAAAATCAACAACAACAACGAGAATAATAAAGAGAATAATAATAAAAATAAACACACATACACATTTCATGCTCAACAAGCACGCAAATAATTTAACAATTTTCCAGTTATGCAAGTCGAGGCCACATTTAAAATCTACACATTTTTAGTTAATTCGTAATTGACGAGTTTAACTTTTATTTCTAGTTGCTATCAATTAAAAAATGCTATCGCTCAAAAGTGAAGGTCGCCCACAGAGAAGAGCTGTAAAAATAATAATAAATAAGATGCGATAAGGCAAAAGAAGAACTGGAAGCAACACATAAATTGAATGAACACATTTTGATCAGTGGAATAACGGAAAATAATAATAATGGAATAGATGCAATAACTGCAAATACTGCGTCAGCTTTCAGCCATCCATAGATTCTTCCGTTTGTATAAGTTAACGTCTTATAATAACTAGTCAGCTTTCCTCAGACTTCTCATTCCTTCCAACACACGGACAATTCTTATAATTTTAGCCAGCTCTTCATAGATCATCTCACTGTATTAATTAAAGTCTTATAATGTTTCAGTATCCCTAGATCTGTATTAGTTACAGTCTTATAATGTTATATGTTATGTCAGCTTTCCTTTAGATTCTCTCACTTCTTCCAATATTACACGCAACTGTATTAGTCAAAGTCTTATAATAAGTATGCAGCTTACATAGATCCTCTTATTACTTACATCACACACATATGCGAATTAGTGCTTTATAACTTGCTTAGATCTTCTCATTCCTTCACACACACACACACATATTCGTACTTCATTGTAGTAGTTAAAGTCTTATACTAGGCGAATACTGACCTTTTTATATGTAATTGTTGTTGTTTTTTGCCGCTCCTTTTGCGGCAATTTGTTTACTTTTTGGCTGCTGTTCCTTATGTGTTGTCGTTAGTTGTTTCGTTAAGTTCTCGCCTGGGCCCCCAAAATAAAAAGGACGAAATTGACTTTCGTTCACTTCTCTCCCTCTCTCGCTCGCTCTCTTGTATGGGCCGCGCAAACTCAGCAAATTGATTTTCACTTTTGGTCAAGCGACGACTGTCAAAAAAATAACACACACACAGAGACAACGCAGGAATTTTCACTTGTGCCACTTTATTTTTGTTGTTGTTGTTGTTGCTTTTGTTGGTGAACAGGTTTAAAAACAACAAAACATAAATTGAGGCAAAAATTTGCCGGCAACAAAAATTCCAACTGATTTTTTTTCCTTTTTCTCCTTTTCTTTGCCTCTCTTCACTTTTTTTTGAGGGGGGAGGGGATTTAAGAGAGTGACACAGACACACACAGACACAAAACTGCTGCTGAGAGCAACACAAAAATTCTTTTGCTGCTTTTGGTTTGCTTTGCTTGCTGCTGTTGTTGTTGTTGCTGGCTGCAGAGTTGAACCGGTTTTTGTTTTTGCACTTCACTTTTTGTATTTGCTGTTGCTTTTTATTTATTTATAAATTTTTTTTAATTTAACTTCAAAATTGACTAAATTCGTAATTCGCCATTCTCAGATTTCAAATGAAATATTTCGCTTGCATTGGAATTAATGCACCGTTATGTCGTTTTCCATTTGCACGCCCACTCTTTATTTTTGTAATGCCGTTTCGCTCGCACACACGTTTGTAACAGCGCGACGCGCGAACACTAACCGTACCAAGTCGAAGTCGTATGCAGACTAAATCGGCTCCAACTCTTATAACAGCGCGAGCGCAAGGTGCGCGAGTGATAACTGTTAAACTCAAAATGGCATTGCTTAACAGTCGCTGTTACTGTGTGTGCTCGTGACTCTCTTGAGCGACGCTAAAGAGCATCTAACAACTCTGCAGCTGTAAGGTGATTTAACTTATGTTACCCATTGAGTTTAAAAGTGTTATTAATAAAGAATTCAGAAATTATTTATGAAATTTAAATAAAACTAAAATATGTATAGACTTGATATTTGTCTTATTTATTTTTCTTAGTTAAATTGAGCTTACTGATAATTTTTACAAAGGCACAGCTTTTTTAAATGTACCCATTAAATATTATAAAATTAAGTTTAATTGACATCAAAGTGGATTATTTATTTTACTTATTGTACTATTAGGAAATATGCAAATAGACATACGATTGAACATAAAACTGTAAAACATTTTTACAAACATAAAAAATAAATTGGGATTAAAACTGAATTTTGCCAGCTAAGAATTCATTCTTTTCATTATCAGTTTTTCTAGTAAATTAAATTAACCAAAGAACTTTTTAAAACAGCTGCTTATCGATCTACTTCGATGATCACGTATCGCTGATCAATTAACGGTTAATTATCATATGTACTATCTTCTTCTTCGTCTTGCAAGCCATATGACATTTATATGATATTTATTAATAATAATATTTGATGGCTTTTTTTCTGAAGCCATTTTTAAATTGCAACTCCGAACTCAACCCAAACTGCGAACTGCAGCCTGTGCCTATGAATATGACCGACTTCCACGTACCCTGCAAAACAATAGGAATTTAATTTAAATGTAATACATAATCTAACAATATAATAAAATAATTTTTTTTGGCCAAAAGCGACTTACTAAAATTCATTTACTAATATTCAACGAATGAAATGTTTTATTTTTTATTCGTAAGAAAAAATGTTAAAATGGTGCTATAATTTTGACCGCAGCTGTATTAGAATATATGGCGAATATTTACCCATTATACAGCTGCTACATTAGAGATCCTTTGCTGCAACTTCTGGCGGCAACAGCGCCACAGGGATTAGCCGAAATGCTTCTCCCTCCAATGTGTATTCGGAGTAAATTTCACCCGGCAAAATCTGCGACGATTCTCGTCTTCGAGGCGTCACCATTTCTAGCACGGTCACCGGACCATTGATCAACAGTTGGACCGACTTTTGCTGCTGCTCTAGGTGCTCCAGCTGCAGCTCATTCTCCAGCTGCAGCTCCTCCTCCTGATTAAGCTGTTCCTCATCCTCCTCCAGCTCCAGTTCCTTCTCTTGCTCCATTTGTTCATTTTGCTTTAATTCCTCCTCCTCCTCCTCGTCCCTTTCCTCATCGGCGAAATGCTCAAAGGACAAAGCCTTGAGATCGGCGGGATTGATCTCCACCGTGGGATGCTTGATGCCCATGTGGCGACGCAGATGCGCTCGCGTTGTGCCCGCGTAGACGCAACAGGGGCAGGGAAAACGCTTCGAGCGCCACCGCATTTTCTCGTGCACCTTTTTGTGGCGCTGCAAATTGTAGTAGCGCTGACTGGCATACGTGCACTTGGGCACCGCACATCGGAAAACTAGGGCGTATTTCTTTTTCTTCGCCTTCTCCATGATTTGCAATTGTTTTGCTTCACGGTATATTGTGTAAAAATTGTTTGTTTTGTTTTCAGCTGCAAAGTGCGATAACCTATTTGTGTGTCGATAAATACTGCAGAGCAAAAAAATGTCATTCTGAGTATTTATGATTGACTGATAAATACTGCAGAGCAAAGCCAAAAATACCACTTGAGTATTTACGCGCACTTGGATCACTCTTTTATGTTAATTGACAAAACTCAACGACAAAACTCAACGACAAAACTCAGCGACAAAACTCAGCGACAAAACTGTATTTGATTTTCTTCGATTCATCTTCTTCTTTCGCGTACAATATTTTGTTTTCCTTTCAGCTGCGGTGAGCGATAAATTGTTTTGAAATGTGGCGGTCAGTCGATAAATAATGCAGAGCAAATCAAAAAATATCATTGAGTATTGCGCGCACTTCAGTGCTCTCTTTTATGTTAACCTCCAGAACACTCTTTACCGGAAAAAGGCAACATTGCTGTTAGCTACCTGTCGTTGCTCTTTGAGTGCTTGCTTTCTTTGCAGCTCGTATATTTGCTGCTCTACACACAAATAACTCGAGACTGGATGAGGATATGCTATGTTAACTAACAGCGCGCTCAAGTTAAGGCTACATAAGGAGACATGGTATATTTTTAGATACCATACTTAAAAGCTGTTAAGTTGTGCTTGTCTCTCAGCACTTGGCGGTAGTTCAAATCATTGCAACAATTAAGCTTATTAAATATTTAATATACTTTCAAATTATTAAAATTTAATAATTAAATTCTTAACAAATAATATTCAATAAATCTTTAATTACAACTATGCAAATAAAATATATATAAGCGCAAGAAACGTTTAAGAAAAAATTGTTCATTTGCTTAGCAGGAACCTTAACAGGAGAGGCACAATCGTCAGCAGAATAGCTGTTACAGCAGATACTCTTATATTTGCTGCTGCTCTGCACACAAATACCGCCAGTCACTGCTATGTTTATTAACAGGGTGGTCAAGTAAATAACTGTTAAGGCTACCCCTCCCCCACACCAAACCGCACACTGCTGCTGCTGCTGTTGGTCAGTTTTGTCATTGAGCGCAACACATCAAAGTGGACAACATGTTATCCCCCTCTCTGTCTCTCTCCTTCTCTCTCTGTCACCCACAAGTTCTGGGTCAGCTGGGCGCACTTTACTGTTTTTGTGCTTTAACTTTAAGGCTTTTCCGCATCTGTTGTTGTTTTTGTTATTGTTGTTGGTCGATTGCTTTTATTGTTTTGGGCGACGTACACCACTTGAAAACATTTGTTGCCCTCCATTTGCCACATTGTTGGCAGCAGCATTGTTGTGTCTTTTTTCTTTTGTCATTTCTTGAGGCGCCCAAAGGCTTCCTAACTTTGAGGTTATGTGCGATGATTGGCTAGCAAAATGGCAAAGAATTATTTACCATTTGAGGTTATGCTCAAAACTTATAGAAAAAAAAAACAAAATAATTACTTAAAAGTAATTAAATTAAATATTTTCAGCAGCCTAACACCACATTTATATTTCGCTTGTTTTTTTTCTGCGTTTTCGACAATTTTTGATGTTGTTTTTTTTAATGATTTTGGGGTCTTTCAGGCAGGAAAAAAAAAAAATAAATTGAACTGAAAAGTTCAAACTGGAACGATAAATGTAGTCTCGAATCAAGCGCAAACTAGCCATGAAAACAACCTGCCTCAAACGTTGTTAACCGAAAATGTGCAACGTGGCATGCAATGAGTTTCATTAGCTACCCCTTGACCCCAACTCTCCCACCCCCTAATAACCCCCTTCCCCTTCAGTAGCAAAGTGCGCTGCAATTTGGCACGAATAAATTTAGCCACGCAGAGCTTTTCAAATTTCACGCCCTATTTGATCACAAACACAGCAGCAGGCAGAGAGAGAGACAGAGAGAGAGAGACAGAAAAGGTGTTGGGAAACGCCCCACACCCAACCACAACCCCTATTACCACAATTATCCCCTACTCCTTCGCCCAACCCTATCGAGATGATTTTCCATTGACCATTGAAATTATCTGGCTCTGAAATACTCGTTGGCTTTTTGCATAAGCACTCAAAATGCATTTCCAACCCACACCCTCTCACCCATACACACGGCAGCTAACGACAGCTTTTGAACCAATTTCCGTTTCCGGTTGCCCAAAATGTTGCCAGCTAAAGCAAAATTATAATGCAAGAAGTAGCTGGAAAATGGTCTGGGTTTAATTTGATTATTTGATTGATTGATTGATTGATACAGTTTATTGTTGAAATTGATGTACAAATTAAACAGTTTTATTCATTTATTAGCTTCTATTTCTGATCAACTAGTTTGGAATAGGAACTAAATAGTTGAATCTCTGTCCAAAATTTGATCAGTTTTGATAAAGTTATGGCTCTGATGAGAGTGGAACCATTCCAGGTTTGACTTTTTGGTGCAGCATTTTAAGAAGGATTTCAAGCCAGAATCGGGTTTTCAAATCTAAGTGTTAGTTATAAATGATGCTATTATTTAGCTAGAGAAATTATTTGCAAGTTGGAAAACAAAGTTTGGCAATTTTAATTTTATTTTTCTAGCGCCGTTCTAAAGATTTAGAGATTGGAGGGGCTTACATGGTTAAAGCTGTACTACCAAAGCAAGAAACCCCTTTAACTATTGTTATTGTTTTTGTTGTAATGTCTCCACGTGATAAGCTTAAACAAAGCCTGTTTTTTTTGTCTAATAAACAAAAATGTTTTGCAGAATGGGTCAAAAGGCGCCGCCGACGCGTGTTTAAAATGTTGTTAATATTGTTGTTGTTGTTGCTGTTGTACAACAAGTTGTTAGTGTTGCCTTTGTTGTTGTTGTTATTGCTGTTGCTAATCTGGTTGTTAAACAAGCAACAACAAAAAAATAACAAAATTGTGGCCAAGTGTTTGCAGCTCCCCAACTGCTCCAACTGAAGACTCAGCTTTGCTTAGCTAATCAGCCACTGAGTTGGGGCCTTGAGGGGGAGGAGTATAATCAAGGGGGAATGGGAGGATTTGGAAGTGATGTGGAAACTCAAAACTACGTTTTTCACAGCAGACGCATGTCCAAATAACAGCAGAATGAACATCAGAGCATATGTGGAAGAAAAAGCAGACGTCCAAAAATGTTGCTGTACATTTTGTGTTTGTGTTGTTTGTTTGCCGTTCCTAGTAAAATGCCTCAGCTTGTTGTTGTTGCTATCATCTTCATGAAATCTGCCACGTGAGGCAAGCGAACGTGCACCGTGGCAAAAGCGGCAGGCAAAGCTTTGACTCAAAAATTATGTAATACGAGTAAATGAAAGTCTTACAAAAGGTCCGAAGAAAAGTCTTGAAGAAAGTGTTTAACGAAAAGCATTAAAGGAAAGTCTTAAGATAAAAACTTAAAAAAAAGTGTTTCTGAGCAAGCTTTTAATTGATTGACTGATTGCTAAGTGCGGCAGGCAAAACTTGGAGACAACATTAATCATCCAATATTTTGATTATATTTGAAATATTTTTTTAAATTTGAACGGATTGTGAATAAGCCAAATGAAAAGCTTTTTGGCCCACTGTGCCCTCGCATAAGCAACAAATTTGATGCGTCGCTGGGGCAACAACAAGAAGCAACATTAAACATCCAACGAGATGCAACTGACAATGTTTCTCCTCTGTTGTTGTTGTTTTTAATGTTGCGTCTTGTTGCTGTTTGGATGCTTATCCGAGCATGTAAGCAGCCTCTTTTAACGGTCTTCAGCTAACAATGCAACAGACGCCACTCCCCCTTTCCACCCGCCCCCTTCCAGCTAACGCAGATGCGCCCTCTGCCGCACAGTTTGACAGTGACTGCTGCAGCCCATTATGCGATTTATGGAGCAACAACAGCTGCTGCTGCTGCTGCCACACATTGCGTGCTTGTGTGTGGATTGGTGTGTGTGTGTGTGTGTGTGTGTGTGTGTCTGCGTGTATTACTCCCCCCCGCCACGACATCCCATCATAATGTCTAACCAGATAGAGTCAAAAGTAGCAGACGAAAATACAATAAATAACAATCAGGTAGCTGCCACTTTAGTGGGTGGCATGGGCGGAGGAGAAGTGGAAGTGGCAGTTGAGGTAGGTGGCACAAAAGGCGCAGCTGCGGGCCACACGGTTAGTGAGGTGGGGGGGAGTGCGGGATGGAGGGTTGCGGCCCACCCGCAACAAAGACAAGCATTATGAGGAAACATTGTTGGCAAAATTTACAATGTGTTTGGGTTTGGGTATTGGGTAAGGTGGGTTTGAGGCTTGTGCCAAAAATTGACCACGTGACGAGCACGATGTGTGTAAGAAGAGAGGGGAGGATGCAGTGAAAGTCGCTGTTACAATGTGAGGGCTGCCAAACTGTAGCAACAACAACAAGCAGGCATGGCTCACTAACCTCGTGATTTACTATGCTAACTCAATGGGAAGACGAAGAAGAAGAAGCAAAAAAACGAAATCAACGCCAGACAAACCGGCTGCCAGAGGTGTGTGGGGGGGGGGAGCGGTGTGGCATGCGTTTTAGCATAATGAAAAGAGAGAGAGAGAGAAAGAGAGAGAGAGAGCAGAAAAAGAAGAAAAACAACATTTGCACTTTTGCATTTTGCATTTTTAAATTTTTGCACTTTGCATATTTTTTGTTCGACTGCTCAACTTGCCAGAAAGTGAAAATTGCATAAATAACTCAAAAATAGCAGTAACTACAACAACAACAACAAGAACGACAATTGCAGCAAAACTGTTGAAGCAGGTCGGCTGCTAAATGAGCGAAAGTGTGGGCAAAGGAAGCACGAAGAGAGCGGAAAACAGAATTTAAAAATGTGAACAGGAAATGCGATTGCTGTTTACAGTTGCTGTTGTTGTTGTTAGCAATTGACAGCGGCTGTCAAACTGCGAAGCATGACTAATGGCGATGAGAAGCATGGAGTGGAATACAAATAAGCAATATAATGAGATAGAGTGAGGGAGAAGGAGAGATAGAAAATTGAATATTATGAAATCTGATCAAAATTGACAAAATGATGGTATTTGGCTGTTTGGAATCGTCCTGAATTTCAACTTGAATATCGATTTAGAATAGCGATT